TGGATGTGAGTTAAATAGGATTCTTTATCTTCTGCATGTAAAAGATTTTTATTTTTATTTTTATTTTATTTTATTTTTTATTTATTTTTATTTTTACTTCTGCATAGAGCATTGGTGATCAAAAACGGGAGAGCAGTTACCATCACACCCCAGTTATTTTTCCCAAACACAACTGCTTTTACTGGAAATAAAATGTTGAATTATATAGATTCTGTCCTAATAATTCACTTGTGGACAAGTAGGTGTGTAAAATGGATTGGGAAAATCAAAATTCAGTTCTCTTTGTCTTGACAATGATGCCATGAATAAAGCTGCTTTGTAACGCCTGTTTTATAAACTTTTCCAACCTACTCCTTTGCGCTAGTCATGTTAGCCTAACATGACTTAAAAACCAGCTGTAATGACAAAGGAAATAATACAAAAGATGACCCTTTGTTCTTCCAGATGCAAGCCCAACATTATAGGACGTCAATGTGATCTCTGTGCCCCAGGCTATTATGGCTACCCCAACTGCAGGGCTTGTGACTGCCATGAAGCAGGAACCAAACCAAGTATCTGTGATCCAGTCACTGGAGAATGTCACTGCAAGGTTAGTCTGATCATTATCTAAACTCAGTTTCTGGCCAGATTTCTGTTTAAGGACCAGTAGGAAATGGTAGGACCAGTGCTCTTGGTGCTTTCAGTTCCCAGCAGCATCAACAATTATTTTCAATACAAACCTGCCAACAGTCATTTCTTTTTAGAGTCAATAATAGAGTGTTCTATCAGGGGAGGAATTTGAGCCTGAATATGCAGCCCTAATTGTTATTGACCAGTGCAATCCTACAGTTCTCCAGAAGCACTTCTTTAGAAACAAAAATAGCTTTGCAGCAAAATGCTTTGTTGAGGAATGTGAGATTTGCCTTGAGTGCAACATGTTCAAAAGGCACAAGGAATTTGTAACCCTCAAGATGTGCCTGAACATCCCTCCCTGCCACTCAACCAGCATGGTGAATCTTCTAAAACTTAAGGAATTCTTCCCAGCAGTTAGTCAAGACACACTCACAAGACTCCCTTCTTTGTTCATTTCTTCCTTGAACGTGCCAGTGAAAAAAAATGTGGGCCTATCTTGTTTCTTTTTCAATCTCTAGGAAAATGTGGAAGGCCCAAGGTGTGATCAGTGCCACTTGGGGACATTCTCCCTCGATGCCAGCAATCCTAAAGGCTGCACCAAGTGTTTCTGTTTTGGGGCAACGGACCGCTGCCACAGTGCCGAGAAGTACCGTGTGGAGGTAAATGATTAGGTGGGAATTTAGGGGTGACTATTCCAGAAAAGAGGGATAAAAGAAGTTTGTATTTAGCACATAAAGGAAGGTTAAGTGTTCAAAGCCAGCCATTTAATCAAGGAAGGAAGCTGCTGCGCAGTATGAAAAAAGTATGAGATGACTCTATGAAGTTCTTTTCTGTTCAGAGAATACTATTAAAAGAACCTCATAGATTTGGCAGTTACTTATACAACATAATAATAGTGAGCATCAAGTAATAGCAGCAAATATCTTTAGGTCTGTCTACCCATTCCTGTCTCCATCTCCATCCCCATCTCCATCTCCATTTCTGCCTTGAGAGATTTGGGCCATTCTCTTGCACATCAAGAGAGGATCACAGGGTTAAGGTTGGCAGAGAGAGGAACCTCACAGTCCTATTTTAGGCTGAATGTCTCAAAAGCTTTAAAAGCTTCTAAGCCACTTGGCAAGCCCACATTTTCTTATCAAGACCTTTGTCTTCTAGTTCATTGACATGAATGGATGGACTTTGCTGAGTGGAGACCGCCAGGGAGCCCCCACCTCAGTCAGCTTGGAAGATGAGGTGGTTCATGCTGATCTTCGGCATTTTCCAGAGGTTTTCCAAGAACTTTATTGGCATGCCCCCAATTCGTATCTTGGAGATCAGGTAAGTGATTCTGGGCTGAAATGCAATTTTTGTCAAAGTAATCCAGTGTCATAATGCTCAAAAGCCAAATTCTAATATTTGAAATGACATTTAGACTCCATAGAACCATAAATTTTCCTTTTTTCTTCCAGATCAACTTACATGATAAAGAACCACCTAGATAAAACTTTTGTTGTTGTTTCTTTAAAAAGTATTTTTTAGTGTACTAGTATTAGTATTATTGCTGTGTGGTTTTATTGAATTTGTTATTATGATGTATGCCACACTGAGTCATGTGCCAAGCGGGCGGCTATATCAGTTGAAAAAATAAAATAGATGAATGCTGGATTTTAGTTCTGAAGCACATAAAAACCCGTATCTTACAATTTAGGTTTCAGGAGATTTTCACTGACTTCAAGATGCTCATATTTTCAACTGTAATTAATATAAGTCTAAAAATCTATTAAATTTTTCCCAAAATTTGGAATAGAATGTATTCTTCTCAAAATTTGAAAGGAAATTAGGGCTGTTTTTAAAAAAAAAAAAATACTTAGAATGTGCCTACAAATTCTTATTTACAAAATAGTTGAGATGGTTCTGTCACAAAAAAACCTTTAAAAAATAGCTTTTTCTTTCATTGTTGATATCCAGTGGTTACAACTAAGACAAAAGACACTGTTCAGTAAGACAAAAACTTTTTTGAAGGGAGGAAACAATCAATATCACTAATTCAAGCAAACATTTATTTGCTTTGAACAGACATGAAACAGTCCAGCATCTCTTATGGCACTTAGTCTCTTTCTATTCATTCAACTATGATGGTATTACTATCTTAATTGAAAAGGGCACTTTTCCATCTGAAAAATGTCATATTTAACTAAAATGTAATCCTATCAAGGATTTTTAAATTAATTTGGGACTAGAACCTTGAATTAGGAGCTTGGAAAGGATTTTAAAATTCTTTTGGGCAACATATTCTTGCTTTCAAATACAGGTCTCCTCCTATGCTGGGTATTTGAAGTATGAGCTGCACTCAGACATTCAGAGGGGTGATGTCTTCATACCGATGGAATCCCGAGCAGATGTTATCCTCAAGGTATAACTCCCATTCATTCTCCTTGGTCCTTGATCTAAATGGCATTATGCCCAACTGTATTTTCTTTCATTCATATGTTTTTGGTCCTTTCCTAGGGAAACCAGATGAGTATTATGTTTGTTGAAGACTCCTATCCCGCTCCTGGAGAGATTTATAAAGGACAGCTTCAACTGTTGGAGGTCAGTTGAGATTTATTACACCATGGGAGAGGTGAAATGTACTGGTCAGGGAATTTTCTGATGGTTTCAGAAGCTTGTATTTTGGGTTGGGTCCTCTCTATTCAGGAAGGAGAGGAACCACTACAGAACGATACCCTCAATCTCCAATCTTGCAGATGTTCCAAAAGGTGGATGGTACTGAATGTTGCTGAGTCTTACATACATAGAAAAATTAAAGTCATATATATGGTTCGGGAGTGATCATTCAATTCTGGAAGCAGAGTTCTATTTCAGCCTGCCCTTTGTGTTTAACAATCAATCCGCATTAAAAGTTGCACAAACATTTAATGGTTGAAGCTATAGACTTAAACATAAAATAAACAATCAGTAGCCCAGGTTTGAAGATCTGCTTTCTTGCAGGTATTCTGATATCTTACCTTGAGAAATGGCTTCAATTGCAACAATACGAGACGTATCTAGTGCTCAATCCAACACAGATTTCCATTTGGTGGGAAAATTAAGGTCCATAATCTGGATCTTAATCCAGTGCAACCATAACCTGGAAAGGTTTATTGATATAAGGGAACCACATTCCTACTAATGTTGTACTGCAGCTCTCTTTTCTTTCCTAGGGTAATTTTAGACACACTGAGACACACAACCCAGTCTCCAGGGAAGAGCTGATGATGGTGCTGGCTAACTTGGAGCAGCTGCAGATTCGGGCTCTCTTTTCCCCAATTTCATCCTCTGTGTCCCTGCATCGGGTGATCCTGGAGAGAACCACAGAGACCGGTGGAAGCATCCAAGCCAGAAGTGTGGAGCTGTGTCTGTGCCCAGCCAATTACAGAGGAGATTCTTGCCAGGTAAGAAAACTGTTTCTTCCCTAATTCATGTAGAGTGATCAGAATCCTCAGTTCATTATATAAAGTTGGTAGTTACTGCCTCCTCCTTCTTGCATTCCTTTAAGCCAGGGTTTCTCAACCTTAGCAACATTAAGATGGATAGACTTCAACTCCCAAAATTCCCCAGCCAGCCATGCTGGCTGGGGAATTCTTGGAGTTGAAGTCCACCCATCTTAAAGTTGCCATGGTTGAGAAACACTGCCTTAAGCCATCAGTAAGTCATTTGGGATTCATAATCTGCTTCTCAAGGCCATTTTGGAATAGAGCAACATAGCAATAGCATAAATAAATAGACATTATGAAAATTTTGATCCAGTGTTCTATGAAAAAAGCATATGCTAGGTTCAGGACCATTAAAACTCTGATTCTTTTAATGCCTCTGTACAAATCCGTGGCATTATCATCCTGGAAATATGCATATTTGGTCATTGCATGTCCACAAGGCCGCTCTAGGACTGGAAGACTCTAGGACTGAGAAGAGCGGTTGAAAAGATCGAAGGAGCAGAGCATCTGCACTGCAAGGAAGGGTTACTCCATTGAAAGTCATTTCCTTAGAAACTAAGGAGAGAAAGTACAAAGGGATGTGATATACATTTATACATCATGCATGGTGCAGAGGAAGTGTGGAACAGGATCCTCCGGTGAAGCTGAATTGTGAGAGACTGAGGAGAGAAAATCCATGAAGTACTTCTCCATCAGTAGTTACTGGTTATGCAGGTCCTCTAACCTCTAGGATCAGAGGCAGAATGTTTTTAAGACATTGAGAGGGGCCTTTTGTCCCCATGTCCTGTCTGTGAATTCCTAAAGACCTAAAGATGGTTCAGGGATGGCCGCAAGGTATCTAAAAAAAGTCGAAATGGCAGCTGCAGTGGTGCAGTCAAAATTCTGCCTGTTTTTTATGTGCACCATTGTGGCTGACATCTTGACTTTTTTTTACCATGCCCTGCCAATACCCCTGTGAAAGCTTCTGGGGAACCAGGATACTGGTCTTGATAAGCTTTAGGTCTGACCCAGCAGGGTTCTCCTGATACTATCCAGGAGGTACACCCATCAGCTGGTCAGCCATAGCCGTACGGACCTCTCAGAGTCAGTTCCTCTCTGCCATTGCTCAGTTGCTACTGTGGACCCATAGCTAGGGAAGAGACGGGTTGTTTATCAGCCCTCCTTGGAGCTTTTTAGAAGCGTCCCATTGGCCCGGACATGGAAAGAAAGTGATGGAAATACCTGACCATCTCAAACAAAAAGATTAAGCAGGAACAGCTTATACGGACTTTGTGTTCATTGAAATCATATTCAGCCTATGAGAGTAAGCTAATGTTCTCAAACTAATTTGTTAGAATTTCCTTCCTTCACAGAAGGCAAAAACTATAGTGAAGTTAAAGGAAAGCAGGTCTGAAATCAATGGGACTCGGCCTGAGAGTGGATAAGATTATAGCCACAGCTATTTCTGGGAGGGTTAACCCATATTTTGCCTTGCCTAGTATTATATTGTACACCTTGCCTGTATGATTTGATTTGCATTTAATGGACAAATCTGTTTATTGTCACTCATCATCATCGCTGAGCTACTCATTGGTTTTTCGGGCAATTGATGAAATGAAAACTGTGAATGGTGCAATTTGTCAGAGCCTGTTGCTACTCCTAAGCAGTGAGACTCACACAACTCAAGGTCTCACGTAAGATGAGGAATGTTAAGAGCCCCCTCCTCCTGCAGGCATTCTGCCTTACTGGTCTGACACGTATTATTTCCTTTGCAATTAGGAATGTGCTCCAGGCTATTACAGAGACATCAAGGGTCTCTTTCTAGGGAAATGCATTCCATGTAACTGCAATGGGCATTCGGATCAGTGCCTCCCAGGATCTGGAATATGCCTTGTAAGTAAACAAAATGATTGTTCAAGTCCATTTATCCAAAAGGTGCTTTCTCCAATAACTGTTAAGTAGTGATTTGTTTAATGGCTCAGAGATACTGGAGGCCGAGACAGTGTTTTAGGGCTGGTGTCTTGAATCCTAGAGCAAGCAGAAATTTTCCAGGTCATTTGCCTTGTACCCTTTCCCACATTACTTTGAGTCACGTTTGGACTTCATTAACTCCTAAATGTATGCAGTAGAAATAACGACCCTGCTATTGGTTTACTCTCCTTTATGCTTGAATAAAACAAACTGTTCTTCTCATTTTCTTGAGTTAAGAGTCCATATAATTTACTTAAGATTATAGAAATAGTAAGTAAGGTCTCATCGTGAGTTGGGCTTGATTCCTGGATATTAGACAATGACTGTGGGTAGTTTCCAGTTTAGTTTTCATTCAGCACGCTCCCACTCCAACCCTGTATGTAGATGTTGTGCAAGTATACACAACACTCAGTTCAGCCAGCAAAAATATAGCTTGAAGTTTATTTATTCAACATTAGCAAACATCAAACAACAACTAACTGGCAAAAATGAGACAAAAGGCTGGAAAAAACAGGGAGGGAAGGGGAGAGAGAGAGAGATGAACAACAGGCACCAGTCTTACATTATCTAGAGATCTCTGTTTCTCGATATCGAAAAGCACAGAATTTTCCAGAGCCACTCAAAACAATACTATCAGCACGGGCAATCCTAAAGAGAGTAGCCTTTGGTCATTCCGGCCTTAATTCTTTTATGAAAATTATGGCAGCAAAATAGAGTTCGCAAGTAGGAAACCAGATGACCCTTCCTCTATTCTACACCTTGAAGGGAACAATGTGATAGATGGGATGGTGGATCCAACGCAGGGAACTTCATGCAGATACCCGTGCAGTTTTCTTTGCAATGGTATAGAAGTGGTTGGCCATGGAGTTCTCCTGGGATTATTATTATTATTTGGGGGGGGGGGTTGACTTCCCAGTCTAATCTGCAGCCCTGGGATTCCTTGGAGTCCCTCATCCAAGTCCTAATCCAGACTGATCCTGTTGCCTCTGACCCCAATCAAGGTCAGCTGCTACCTTCTTTCTTTTAATTGCCATCTAACAGTCAAGGCACTAGATGGAGCTTTCTCTAACTCTGTCTCAGCAAGTAGTCAGGATCCTTTGAGGAAAAAATGGCTGCTTTTCACCAAGCAATTAGGAAGATGGAAAGATGAGAAGCAAGGAAAGCAGAGGAAAGATTCTCAAGATTTTGTACAATAGACCAAATGCAATGTTCTGTAATAGTTTGGCCAAATGCTATGTGCAATAAATCCTTATTGGCATCAAGATTATGGAGAATACACTGAAGGTTAGA